TGAATCGTATATGGCGTTGAACAGTTCAGTTAACTCCTTCGTGCTCACTTCACTCATCACCTTAATAAGTTCAACGGGTATTTCGTCCGGACCTGTAGCCTTACCATTCTTAGACTGTTTCAAAGCAGCCTTTACCTCGCTTTCTAGAATTGACGGCCCTGTCATGCAATTTATTTCCGGAAGGTTGCCTCGGTCGTCCAGAAAAGTTGTTCGATATATATTTTCCAGGTAACCAACTTCTTTCTCATTCACTGTCGTCGCCAGATTACCGTCTTTATTTATGAGGAGGTGTGTGTTTCTCCTCTTTGACCAGTGGCTTCACGAATCCTTCGGTAACCGAAGAATATATATATATATATATATATATATATATATATATATATATATATATATATATATGTATATATATATATATATATATATATATATATATATGTATATATATATATATATATATATATATATATATTCTTCTGTTACGTCCAATTTAATTCTAACACCTTATTTTGATAAAGTTGACGATTTCTCTCCGATTTAATTGAATTTACAAAGCCTTTTTCAAAAATAAATAATTCTGTTATCATTATTGGTTATTTAAATTTATGAGATTTCCAAGTTTGATGGCTTTATAAGCCGTTAAAACTTTATAATTTAGATAATAAGTCCAGTGGGTTCAGTGGTTTTTAAGCATGTTATTACTGTACAAATATTACTTTTTATTGCAAACTTTTTAATTATTTATAAGTACATTGATTATTATAATTAATTAAGAGCTTGAATAAACTTATTGGTTATATAATTGACGTGACATTTTTTAAGTGAATTGGATATAACTTTTTTTTTAAATCTATGAAACTATTTTGATTGCATAGACCAGAGAAATTAGCAAAAAACAAGCCTTTTTCGTGGAACTCTTTGATACAGATATCTAACAACTGCTTTTGATAATATGACACCTAACAATATGTTATACACAAAAGATGCAAAAGATTTAATGTCATGGTTTACTTAAACAATATATAAACAATGCGAGATCGGTATTTGATTTTAAATACTAAAAGTGAACACCAGTAAATTATATGGAAAAGTGACACAATTATACTAAAAAAGCATAGAAAATCTTTTAATTTGAGCATTTGTAAAGTTATATTTGTTAATTTATTTCAAAAATAGCTTGAAAAATCGATTTTTTAAAATTATTTATAATCTTTCTAAAAATGCGCGAAAAACTTTAATTTTTCATGAAAATGGGAACAACATTACAAATATTCAGCTATAAAAATTTCAAGAAGTTACACTTACTTAATAGTTATTGCAAAGAAGTTGTTTATAAAAGAAAGCTTTTATCTATAACGTTATTATGCGTAAACTATTAAGTCTACATACATTCTGAAAGCTCCAAATTCAAGAGAAAGTCGTATTTTATTAAATTATATTATTTAACGATTAAAAAGATTATGTAAAATATTGTAAAATAGATTTACTGTGATACCATGATTTTGAGCTTATAAACATTTACTCAAACGCACCAAGATGTGAAAAACTTTTTTTTATTCAAAATATTGGCATTTTTACAGGAATTGTTAACCTTTTTTCGAAAAATTCGCCAGGGCTTTTGTGTTTAAACATTAAGGATTTTAAAAAGCACAAATTTGAAATATTAAAAGTTTAAGATTTGACAAAATAATTATTTTAAAACGATTTCTTTGAGAAATGATAAAAATGATCTGTTCATGATGCGCCAAAAATGAAGGGTTTAAAAGGGAAGCTATTTGTTTCCACTCGATTTCACTAGTTTAAAAACTGAATTCATAACTTAAAATTTAATAAAGTCGCAATATCTCCGGTTATAATCAACGAAAATTGATTTTAGTTTGGGGTATAAAACCTCGTTGCATAGATTATAAAAATTTAATTAGTTGCAAAATTTTGTATTTACTTTAGTATTACTTAGTATTTACTGTATTTACATACTAAATATGTATTTATTATAGTTATAAATAATATCTTTTAACAATAAATTTTATAAATCAATTAGTGTGTTATTTGAAAATCAAATCTATACGTGTTAATATTTCTTAAACTTTGCTTATTATTTTTACAATTACTTTTCTTGGCACAATAATATTACAAATATATTTTAAACAAATTAATTAATTAATTCTTATAAACTTAAACTTAAACTGTGAAATTATAAATAAAAAGAGTAAAATTAAGTATGTAAATTGTACTATGTTACGGTTAAAACTAGTTTTACCCGGATACTTTGCTTGTTATCCAAATTGGCTGGATAAAAGGCAAAGCAGATTGATAACTTCTTGATTTATCTTAATCAATCACAATGTCAAAATAGATAAAACAGTAAATTTTAAGCTTTGGTATAAATAACGCTACTTACGCTTATATTGTATTTGCTTTATTTTCTTTATTAGGAATCTACTATATTTGTAATGTTTATGAGTTAAAAAAAGTAACTGTAAAAATAATAAGCATAATTCAACAAAAATTATTAAAAAATTAATTTTTTGTAAAATTTATTGTTAAAATATATTATTTATAACTATAATATATGTTTACTCAAGTCAAAACTTGAAATTTTAATCTTTCAAATTGGGCTTTTTAAATTTCTTACTGTTTATAAACAAAGCCCCAAAATGAATTTTTGAAGATTAACTTGGGTTCTAAGATCGTAAGACAATTCTTGTTCTTTAATTCGTGTAAAAATGTCAACATTTCGAATAAAAAAAATAGCTTCCTACGTGTTGATGCGTTTAAGTTATTTTAAATGTTTATAAACTTAAAATCACAGTACTTTTGTAAACCTATTTTACAATATTTTGCATAAACTTTTAAATCTTTAAATAATTTAATTCGAGAATATAAGTCTTTCTCTTCAATTTGGTGCTTTCAGAATTTATGTAAAGTTAAGTTTTAGGTAAAGAAAAGTTATTAATAATTGCCAAAAAAATCAAGTTTTGAAGCGGTTTTTCCAATAATTAAGCAACAAATTATCAACAATAACTTCACAAACCCTCATATTAAAGGACTTTTACAGTAAAATTGTGTCACTTTTCCATATAATTTACCGGTTTTCACTTTTAGTATATAAAATCAAATAGCGATCTTACATTGTCTATATATTGTTTATAAGTAAAATACGAGGTTTAATATCGTGCCTAGGTTATTTATTACATATTTTTATCACTTCTATCAAAAGCAAGTGTTAGATATCTGTATCAAAGAGTGTCTTGGGAATATTATTACTTATCTGGTCTAACAATCAATTATTGTTTAATCTCATTATAAATACAATATTTTTTTTAATGTTTCTATTTATGTATTATTATGAGATAAACCTTTTTTGTTATGTTTCTTATAATTGTTTCTTTGTTTTTAATAATGTGATTAAAATGAAAAAAAATAATAAATATTTGAAAATAATAGACGATTAAAAAAGTTTCTATTTCAATTCTGCTGCTGAATATGTTTTACCTAATTACTTATACATTTGTGTTTTAGTATAGGTATTTTTTAATAATTTATAAATTTTTACACAATACTGTGAGTTTTCGAGCAACTTAATTCAACAATTTGATATAATTTCATCAACAAACTAATAAACCAACAACCTGCAAGAGTGTGTGCTTCCCCTGTATATATAGTAGATTTGTTCTCCATCTCATTTTCTTTCTGTGTTGGTGAAATGACGTGATATAAACAAAAAATAATGTAAAAATCTCCTAAGACTTTTAAATTAGGCTAGAAATATTTCTTACTTTGGTAAAATACTATAAAATACATATTTGTGATTTGTGATTATTCTTTTTGAAAAAAAAATAGAACAAAACAAAAATAAAAACAAAACAAATATATTTTTTATATAATACATAATTTTATGAAAAATAAAAAATAAACATAATCGTCACTAAAGTCAAGATCTGTCAAATGAAAGAACCGAATTAGAAAAATTGATTTAGACGTAATACTTAAATCGCTAATCTATACATACATATAATCCGTATGAGTATCTGTATTGTGAGTATTTTCTTGCCAATTTCATAATAAGGGAATTCTTTAGACAACAATATTAGTTAACTTTTTAAAATGAAAACTTTGGCTAATTGGTTTTTACCAAAGCCATCTAAATATAAAAAAATGAAAACTTTAGGATACACTAATTGAGAGCTTTCATTTGATCCACACCTTGAGTGACGATTATGATCATTTTATCTATAAATATAGTATTAATAGAATTTAACCGTATATATCAAATTATTTTTACTGCAAGATTAGGAAATTGCAAAAATTAAACTTCTTGCAATAGTAAGTAAACTTCCTCTAAATATTTGAAATATTTTTCACCAATTAACGAAAATAATTCCAAAATACCAACTATTTCTGTTTAACCTTTAAAAATCAATAAACTCTCTCTCAATGGTCTTCAAATATACTGTGGGGTTTATATTGAATTTATTATTACTTGCGGCTGAAAAGTTCTTTATCAAATTAAGAAACATTTTTTTCTTAGAAGTTCATTGCTTAGTAAGATTTTTGTACTAAAATAAACAACTTTCAATTATGTTTATTAAAAAATACCTCTAATGTTGACAAACGGCACTGTCTCATCGACCTCGGCCTGTGAATTTCATGTGAATATCATTTGAGGAGGGTACGATCGTAGTACGTGAAGGATTTAGACATATTTATTGATATTTGATGTAAAAAGCTTGCGTGTGAGTGTCAGTAGAAAAAAAGTATAACATTGTTTATATTTTGATTTAGAAGAAAGTTGGGTGTACATATAGTAGACATCATGGTGTTCAGGGTATTTTATGCTTGACATATTCCATAATTCACTTATTTATTTTGTACAGATTTATCGTATTTTTTTTTTAGTTTTGGTTAATTTTATGTTTGTAGTGTAGTGTAGTATTATTAGATGTAGTGTTTTTTGTGAACAATAGTTCCAAAGGCAAATTCTAACTAAACGGATGTTACAGGAACATATTTCAACTGTATTATGTTTATGGTGGCTTCTTCGGTGGTACTTACAGTTGTGGTACTCAATTACCATCATCGTACCGCTGACATTCATGAGATGCCTCAATGGGTAAGTAGAATTTTTTGAACGAAAAGCTATAAATATTTTTTTAAGTGTTTTTTATGTTTTTTTTTTTATTTTTTTAGTACATGTTTCTTCCACTAAGTTCCGTATCAAAGATTATTCCTAAAAATCTAATGTCATTAGGGTAATTTCGGATTTGGTTAGATCATTTTAGTTGTGGTTTTAATCGAATCATGTTTCTTCGAAAATAACAAATACTTTGATTTGCTAAGTGGAAACTTAAATCCTGTTTTCCTAGACCAGTTTTCGAGTTCGTGAAGTGTGGTTTGTAGGTGACGGTGATCTGAGAAGATATTTTTCCCTGAAGATATTAACACCAGATCATCTGCATAGAGTTTAATGGTACAATATTATTCATGGCAATTAAAAATAGCGTTGAACTTATTACAGACTCTTGAGGGATGCCATTTGCTTGATATGATATTACCTCTAATATTTAATGTGTGTAGTGATCTATTAATATCATAACGTCATGTTGTGTCAAACGTATTTGTAATCTCTATGAACACTGCAATAGTTTCTTGTTTGTTCGCAAAAGATTCCGGAATTTTAGACTCGAAATCAATGAGATTATCAGTAGTAATTCGGTTTTGTCGAAATCCACTCTGGAGATGATTTGAGCAATCTTTTGTTAACTATTTTTTTCCATAACTTTGCACATTATATTGGTGAGTGAGATGGGTCGGTATTAGGAAATTTTTATTGCTGAAGAACATTGGAAAGATATTATTTTAAAACACCTTTAGCGTTATTTGGCAATTTTTCCAGAGTTTTTAGTAGTATGGAATATTGAAAGGAATCTTTATCTTCAGACGCGAGCTGTTGTTTTTTTGTGATTGTTTTGGTTGTATAACCTCTTCAGGAAAGTTGCTATTGCTGGAGTTTGTTTCGAAATATGTAGCAAAAGCATTAGCTGTTTCGTTGGGTTTTGTTATTATATTAGTATTGCGAGTGATAAAAGGTACTTGGTAAAATTTTTTTCCTTGTATTTTACGATTATTCCTGATATTTAAATGCGACAGAGTGTAGATAAGGTGTTGAACTGTTTATTTTTGACAAAATTCTTGCAGTTGGTTTTTGCGCAGTTTTTGTTATACAGAGTGGCCCAAAAGTCTGGAAACGGCTAATTATCTCGTAAAATGGTAATCATAATTGTACAAAATTTGAGGTACACCTATTTTGGGATACGGAGATTCCATATTTGATATTTACAATGTGGCCAGATTTGCCGTTTTTCTTATATTATTAGTAACTTTGGTTTTTCAAATACATCACCCTGTATATTCAGTCATTATTGGAATCTCCTATTCAATATGAGTTCAACCATATGTAACACTTATCATTTTATGTAATTTGGAAGGTCATAAATACATAAAATCGAAGTCTGGCAACTCCTAAATTGTTTCAATAAATTTTTTAATACTAACTATTTTCAAATACATTAAAACGTAACAATTGATAGTTGAGAACATTTTTTAATATAGTAGTTACGTTATTAAGTGTTCAAAATGTGCTCAATTTGTGAGTTGACAGCACCCTAATCGATGGTAGAAGGCGTCTACCACATTTCTCCATGATTGTTTAGAAATTATTTGAGATTCATTGATAATTCGTTGCCTTAGCTCTGCAAGACGTGCTGGTTAAGTTTTATAAACTGAATTTTTCAAGTATCCCTAATAAAAATAATCTTTAGGATTGAAATCGGGTGAACGTGGAGGCCATTCAATTCTACCTTGTCTACCAATTTATCGTCCAGGAAATATCTCATCTAAATATCGCCGAACATTTATACCAACTATCTGACGTTAAATTTCTTTCGACAAAAAATGACCCAATTGAATAAGTAACTACTATATCTGACCATACATTTAATTTTTGTGGTCTTTGAGTATGGTTTTCACGCATTCAGTCTTCAGTATGAATTTACGTCACACCAGTACTTTAAAGTGTGTCGATTTAAACTTCCACACAGTGTAAAAGTTGCTTCATCGGAAAAACATATTCTGTTAACGAAATTTTAATAATTTTCAATTTTATCCATCATTATCTCAGTAAACTCTAATCTACGACCAAAGTCATCTTCACTTAATTCTTGCAATAAGTAAATTTTGTATGATTTAAATTTATTGTTACGTAATAAACGTAAGACTGAAGAATGACCTACATCATGTACTTGTGTAACCCTGCCTGGGGATGTATGTGGATCTTCAACAAAACTTTGCTTATATCTGAAGTTTTGTTGTCATTGAGAACTCGTTTCCGTCAACCTGATCGGTATCTATCTTTTACTTCTCCAGATTCCTCAAATCGCCTTACAGTTTTTTGTACCGTCGTCTTATGAATAGGAGAACGGTTTAGAGAACTGCATTTTAGAGAAGCAATTTAAATTGCAAAACTTTTTGAACCACAACTACTGTCAATTTTAGTTCATAATTTAAATGGTGAACAAATGTCAAAATCACAGAATTCTCCATTTAAATATTTAAATTTATTAAAATCTACATATTTTGCACTGTTTTATGTATTTAAGATCTTTCAGACTACATAAAATCAAGTGAACATATGGTTGAACTCGTATTGAATAGCTGAACTCGTGTGAAATTCACACTGAATGCGTGAAAACCATACTCAAAGACCACAAAAACTAAATGTATGGTCAGTTATAGTAGGTACTTATTTAATTGGGCCATTTGTTATCGAAAGAAATTTAACGTCAGATAGTTGGTGTAAATGTTCGGCGTTATTTCGATGAGATATTTCCCGGGCAATAAATTGGTAGACAAGGTAGAATTGAATGGCCTCCACGTTCACCCGATCTCAATCCTAAAGATTACTTTTATTAGAGATACTTAAAAAATTCAGTTTACAAAACTTAACCAGCAAGTCTTGCATAGCTAAGGCAATGAATTATCGATGAATCTCGAATAATTTCTAGACAATCATGGGGAAATGTGTTAGACGCATTCTACCATCGATTAGAGTGCTGTCAACTCACAAATGGAGCACATTTTGAACACTTAATAACGTAACTATTATGTTAAAAAATATTCTAAACTATCAATTGTTACGTTCTAATGTATTTTAAAATAGTTAGTATTAAAAAATGTATTGAAACAATTTAGGCGTTGCCAGACTTCTGTTTTATGTATTTAAGACCTTCTAGACTACATAAAATCATAAGTGTTACATATGGTTGAACTCGTATTTAATAGGAGATTCCAATAATGACTGAATATACAGGGTGATGCATTTGAAAAACCAAAGTTACTAGTAATATAAGAGAAACTGAAATCTGGCAACATTGCAAATACCAAATATGGAATCTCCTTATCCCAAAATAGGCGTATCTCAAATTTTGTATAATTATGTCTAGTAATTTACGAGATAATTAGCCGTTTCCAGACTTTTGGGCCACTCTGTATATCTAACATATGCTTTCTGTTTTTTGTATTCAATGATGTTAGGTGTGTTTTTTCAATTTGTTGAAAGATACTTGATACTGCTTTTTGCATTGAATTTTGACATTCTGTGTTCCACCATGATAGAGGTTTGTATTTCGTTAATATTTTAGTTTTTCCTATGTGTTTCTCGTATGTAATAAATTAGTAAAAATGTTTATAGTTTCACTTATAACAGTGTTTTCAAAACTAGTTTCTAGAGATTCTATGTTTATTTCTATGGCGTCAGCTTATTTATTCCAATTAGCCTTGTTAGGTTAGGTTAGGTTAGGTATAAAAACATAAATGACTAATCCAAAACTTGCTTTTTCCTGATCGTTTCTATTCTTTTAAAAAGCTGAAAAGTTGTTAAATGTATGGCAATGTATGGAAATTTGTCTTTTGAAGACAAATGATAGTAGGTGACAGATCATTGACTAAAATTTTTAGCATATCACAATGGGTATAAAACCCATTTATATTCCAGTGTAGTACACTCAATGTATCCGTGTCGGATTCTTCATTCTCATATTTGAATTTTCTGAGCTGTTTTGTCAGTTTCTTTTTTAGCTTTGTACATTTTACTTTTAATGGACACTCGGATGTATATGAATGGATTTTGGATAAGAGTTGTATAAATACCTGAGTGTCTGAGTTATATTTATTTGTAACACTGATAACATATTTAGCCTCTTGAATTTTTTCAAATAAATCAACTGTTTCCTCGGAGGTTAATATTTGTTTTTCGCAATCGAATATTTCTTTAATTGGTTGCATTAGAGTTTTTAAAGCATTGTCGATGTTTTTGTTTTTATTCTTTTTGTCCCTAGGTTAGCTTTGAAAACACATTATGTCTAGCTGATGTCTTAATTGGAGGTGTTATTGCTTCAGATATAGTTCGTTTGAAGGACGATTTTCCAGTATTTTTCTCTTTGGATACTTTTTATTTTCATTAGGAGAGCTAGAATTATCGTGTAGACTAGAAGATTAAGGGTGTTTAGTTATGCTTTTGTGAGCTGATGGGGTGGTGAGGTGGATATATTTGTTTTAGATATTGATATTGCATTAACTGTAGTTGAAGAATCGTGCGTCGTTAATTGGGCTGTAGATGATGCTCTTGATGGTGTCGTTGAGGCATTTTATATATTTGTAGAGGTATACGTTGTTAAAGATGTAATAGCAGTACATTGTCTACTATTGACAGATCTAACAACGATCAAAATCATCTGGTCATGATAAACAATATCGCTGTTGTAGTAAATTTGTATATCTGGGCTCATTAATAACCAACAAAGGAGGCTGTACTGAATAAATAAAGCGGCGGTCAGCAATCGCAAAAAGCGCTATGGCAAAATTAACAAAAATTTGGAAAAGCCATGAAATAACTACCGATACAAAAATGAGACTAGTTTTTCCAGTTTTTACTTATGCATCGGAATGCTGGACCCTTACTGAGAAAGACAAAAAGAACATAGATGTATTTGAGATGTACTGCTGGAGACGAATGCTGAGAATACCATGGGTGGCCCGAAGAACAAATGAATCCATACTGGATCAGCTAAACATAAAGAAAAGACTAAGAACACAAATATCAGAACAAATAATAAGCCATTTTAGACATGTGCTTCGAAGAAATGGTCTTGAAAAACTTACCATCCAGAGAAAAGTAGAAGGCAAAAGAAATAGAGGTAGATCTCCCACATGATACACGGACCATATTGTTGCTACCATTGGCGCTCCATTGTCAGAATGTGCTAGAATGGCAGAAGATAGAAAAATGTGAAGAAACATTGGGAAATTTAGCTAATAGCTTCATGATATCACGATCCCTGCATTAGGTTGACGACTAAGAAGAAGAAGAAGAAGTCTAGTGTTAAAAATATTCATTGTGAGTGTCGTCAAGCGTTATTACAATGGAATCGAGAATTGAACTTGTGAGTGGGGATATGTAAATATGTCGACATAAACCAAGTACATGTTTGTATTCTGTATTGTAGGCATTACGTACAATTGCACCACTCTCTTAATTTCCTAGTGTATTATCGCAATAAACTGGTGGTTTCAGGTGCTAAATGACATTTCTTTACTTTTTGTGGATGCATATTTTAAGAACAACCTTCTTTGATTCTTCTTGTAATCTTTTTACTTGGATTTGCATGCCTGGTTTTGGATGTGCTAAGAGTCAAATATCATCAGTGTAGTCTAGATCTTCCATATTCCTATTTCCTGGAGTGCTTTTCATATGGCCATATTTGTTAGAGGTTCGAAGGCTCTCTTGAAGTCCACAGGAATGGAGAGTTGAATTTCTGCGAGTGCTCTACGATTACTCCAAGAGTGTTAATTTGGTCCATGCATGATCGGTTTGGTCTGAAGATGGCTTGTTCTTTCCTTAACATTGGTTCCACATTGTCAAATCGGTTTTTTGTGATTATTGCTGTTAATTTATTTATGGTATTGGCTAGTTGCTTAGTAAGTTGTTTCTTCTATTGTTCTTTGTTGCCTGCTTGGCAACTCTATTCTCTCTCCTTTAACTTTCTTTAAGTCGTTCCTTCTCTGCTTCTTTTCTGGACTTTAGAAGTTCTACATTAATAAGTTTACGGCGTTTTATTTTGTTCCACGTCTTTCTGGTTCCACGGTTTCTTTAGGTATTTCTTTAAGCCCAAAATGTTTTCACTTGTTTCTACAAGGGTATTGCTAATCGTTTCCCAATTTATGTCCTGCCTTTTATCTATGTTGGCTGGTAGTTCTCGTCCGCATTCTATTTGGTCACGTTGAACTTCTTTCGTATAGGTTTGTAATACTTATTAATATCTAATCCAATAATTTCTATGAGACTTTGTGGATTTTTTATGCGGAACAAAGTTTCTTCAATGATTAGGTCATGGTTACCACAAATTTCAATGAAGCACTCGTTATTTTTATTGCTACATACTAAACTACATATAATTCACACAAATGCACCCTAGTGCATAGGGACAAGTTCACTCCTTTCTCAAAACGCACCCCTTTGAGGTCAATTGGCCATATGAAACAATAAAACTCCTTTAACGTTGTAGTTTATTTTAGCCCTATTTTTTTTAACATAATAATCAATGGCCCAATGATAAAAAGGAAAAAAACCAATTTTTGACATTCATTATATTTATGGAGTTATTTGGTATTAATGCGATTGTTTATTCCAGATAAAATCAGTCTTCCTACAATGGCTGCCATGGATTCTAGGGATGAGTCGACCAGGCAAAAAGTTAACCCGCAAAACAATCATGATGAACAGTCGAATGAAGGAACTGGAATTGAAAGAGCGATCTTCAAAGAGTCTTTTGGCGAACGTGTTAGACATTGACGACGATTTCCGAAACGTAACAGGTACTACCAGTACTAGCAGTGCTGGAAACAATTCTAATTTGAATCCGAATCTAGGAGCAGGATTTATAAGACATCCTACGACAATAGAAGAAGCCAACATTGCCAGTGGTGGCAGCTTTCAACGAGATCTCCAGCACATCCTTCGAGAACTACAGTTCATTACGAATAGAATGAAGAGAGCAGATGAAGAAGCTGAAGTAATTAGTGATTGGAAGTTTGCGGCTATGGTAGTAGATAGATTCTGTCTCATAATATTTACGTTATTTACAATCATCGCTACAGTTGCCGTGCTATTTTCGGCACCTCACATCATTGTCCAATAGGATTAGTGAGGCATTCGGACCATGGAGAAGAATGCCTAAGAAACAACATCAACATCAATCTATAGAATTAAATATATATACCTTAGTCAGACAATGGTAATGAGATGTCTGTGACGATGATGGTTTAACTACTCAATTTAATCAAGAATGTAAGAAAAATTAGCATAAAGTGAAAATTTATTTTGTCGAGCAAGCGGGAGCCGATAGTAGAAAAAACTTTGAACGTTTACTGTGATAAAACAGCAGATCGTGTCGGCAGTTCGGCACACTAGCAATTGTGCAATTGTGCCTTTTCTGTGGAACATTCACGAGCTGTTTACCAACAACAACTAAAAGGCAGGCACCTATGTGCACGTTTTGCTACTCCGTACTGCTGTGGGGCCGTGAGACACTTCCAACTGTCAACAACAATGTGTTTGTACTTCCATTGAAACAAAACAATTCAAATTATGTTTTGTCGTTTCGTTTTAACGACAATGAACGGACTTGGGGCACACTAGTGTTCTGTCATCCACTCGCTATAATAACACAAGCCGGAGAGTTGGCGCACTTTTTTGAAAAGGTACTTGATAAAACTTAAAGGAAAAGATATACTATTTTAACTATCTGGCTGTAGAATCAGCAACATATTAACTACCTAGGGGTAGGTGTTTGTGATAAAATAACAAATCTATATAACTCGTACTACGTGCTATTGGAATGGCATTTTTTCAAAATATAGACAATTTAAAACACATGTAATATTAGGTTTGGTAAGGCGTCCAAATACAGGAGCTTCACTAAATAGCCTAAATTTTACAGACGTCTAAGTTATTGTCCATAGACAAAGAATATTATTAATTCATAATTGAGAAATTAGGCAAAGAGTAAAGTAAACTAAAAGAGGGATAAAATCTGGAACTATCGAAGATAAATAATACATGGAACTATTAAAATTACACAACATAAAACAAATCAAGAATGAAAAATTACTGAACAATAAATTATAATTAAATATAACTTACATTTGACAATAAAATATTAGAACATAAAGATAATATATAAGTAAAAAAAGAATTAAATATATCAAAGCAATATGTTGCTATAGAAAATGTAGATTATTAAGAAACGCAATTTTGGAAAAAGGGTAAACCTAGTCGAGCCAATATATGGTTGTGAAATATAATATTGACGCAACAAAAATTCCTTTTCTATTGCAAAAACTCCATAAAAAGGAATGTTATGTTTCTGAAATACACTAGATAGTTAATCATAAAAAAATAATGAAATATTTGTTTTTATATCATTATACCAATAATATTTGATATTTTCGTTAACAATTTATAATTATATTAAATATATTAAGCCAGAGCCGATAATTTTTGAGATCACAAAAGTAATACGGTGGAATTCATTGTAAAAGGAAGAAAATATAATAACAACTAAAGGAACAGTAATGTTCGGACGATCTGGGGTCGGGAAGTGGAAAGGGAAAAAACAGTTTATCACGATTTCCGGCAAATCTACAAGTCCAATTGAAAAAATTCAAGTAGCAAACTTGTAGGTAATGGAAAGGTTTACTATTTTTTTATTTACACTTTTTCACATAACGTTAAAATTTTTGCGAAAACTTCAAATAATCGAGTTTTTGGCTTTTATTATTTTTATATGAAACAAAAAAAGTTTCACAAAATTTGGTGAAAACGTACCTTTTTATGTCTCAAACAAACTGTAAAATTACAATGTATTTGAGACATAAAAAGATACGTTTTCACTAGATTTCGTGAAAAAAAATTTTTGTGTGGAAAGTAAAAGTAAGAAACAAAAATTCGGTTATTTAAATTTTTCGCGTAATTTTGAGGTCATGTGAAGAAAGTGGAAATACAATTGTTGTAGACTTTGATATTACCTACAACTTTACTTTTTAACTTTTTTCCCTTGGACTTGTAGTTCTACTGAAAATCGTAATAAACCGTTTTCTACTCTTGAAAACTTAGCCCCTTCCAGTCCTCGACATTAGATAGTCCGTAAATTATTTTTCCTTTAATTTTTGTTCTATTTTCTTCCTCTTCCAGTGTATACATCCTTTTTTACGGCTCTGGTTTACATTAGAATTTAAAAAAAATTTAGTTACATTAAAAACATTTTAAAAATATATTTTTATAAATATAAATCTTATATCCTGTCTTTGATACTTGTAAAATTACAATTATTGGAAATATTTGTCAAATATTTAGAAATCTATCAATTGATTTGTCATAATATTTGTCAGCAAAAATTAAACATTCATTATTCTTGATAGTAGGCACGTTAGTGTTAATGACAGTGAGTAGGTTAAGAATATTATATCATTAATATCTTTGTATTTTTATGGAGTACCTTTTCGAGGAAGTCTGTGAACTCTTGGACTATACGTGCAAGTAGTTAGTTAGTATAGTATCATTAGTTCGAGGTACACACGTGTCTGCCTTTTGTTCGCCCATTGATGATAATGATAAATAAAAGGTGTCCACCTACATTAAAACCTATTGTGATGAACTTCGCAAGTAAATAAGTAAAAAATAAATATATAATAAGTTATATATAGAATAAATAGTATATAAATAACCTTAACGTGGGTAAAAGTCGTGCGTTTATATATTCGGAGTTGGGACCGGCGGCCGATATAGGCTTCTAAGTTACCTTTCGGCGACGGCGAGACAAGTTACGTGTCCTAATCTTGAACACCTTCGCCGGATTACTTCTTAAATCTCCGTACCGATATCGTAGAACGCCCTGTCTCACTCCGCCGTTTTTTGGACGGCATGTGCCCAGGTTAGTCTAAGGCGAGCATCTCCTTCACATCCATCGTACATCAAACCTAATCTATTTCAACTTTTGTACAAATTGCATCTTTTTTCTCTTCAATCTACATCAAAAGTGTATTTTTACTATACATTATTAGTCACAACTTGCATAAGAGTCTAAGTTTTCGTTCATTTTTATAATCTTCACAATTTGGCAGACCAGGAGAAGAAAGCGAGTATACTTTTTGCTCTCTCTTATCTGTCATCTTTCAATATATCTAATATTTGTTTATTAGGCCCAAATGTATATAAATGAGACGTAACAAAAACAACAGGCAAATGAAGTTTATAAAAGATTAATTTAAAGGAAGATCTAAAAGAAATAAATATAAAAAAGTAACTAATATAAATACAAATTAAATATTATGTTTATATGGGTTCTAGCCACAATTTATCGTAATAAATATTACATTTTTAACTTCTCTTTTACCTTTCTGCTTCCACCCCGGAATCGTTTTCAAGAAAGATTATTTTAAAAAGTGTGCGAAAATTAAAACCAAAAAGTTGTTAAGCATATTATGTTTGTCACTGACAGGTGACTTTCTTGGCCTCAATCTTGTAGGCAATACTATGCTTTCAGTTGAAAAAATCTGAGGTCAGGGTGTCCCCGAAAATAGTGCGTTCCTTTAAGTTATGGATGTAATATACACTTTGGAACAAAAAAATATTTTAACACTTTTTTCTAAACTTAACCGTTTCAAAAAAAAATTACATTGTTTTTTCATATACGTAAATTTTTATTTTCAGAAAATTAAATAATCTGGCAACGTCATACGCGGTGAAAGCGCTTCTGAATAAAAACTCATTTGTGACTTAGGATATTTAAAATAACAACCCTTGTTTATTTACTTTTCAAGGCTGTTACCATCTGATGAAATGTACGTAATATCTGCAAAATAATTATTTCTTACTTTAATAATGTGGTATTTGCTATGATCTGAATTAATTAAGGTTTTGGATTGTTGTTCAAAGTTTTAAATTAATTATTATAAGCCCTAAAATGTAATTAAAGCAACTAAGAAAAATTAACTAGTATCATGTATTTATTATGCTTTAAAGGTGTTGAATATCGAGAGCTTTAACTGGATTACATAGTTTACAGTGGAAATTAAATACAACAGACAACGTTTATTATTTCTTATTTATTTTTTTACACTATGCTAGGACTGTCAGTAATTTGTTTACTTGTGAACCTAAATTAAATTAGATGCTTTTACTTGAGAATAATTATTACAATAAATATTTAAAGTGAACTCCACCTTGCATTGATATGACGAATCCAATTGTTAGTAATGCCATAGTTAACTAAATTATGTCAGATAGTTTCTGCAACATAAAAAATTCGTTCCCGTAATTCATAAGATTGTTGGACATAGGCCTCCTCCAATTGCTTCCACGCTTCCCTATCTTTTGTAATTCTCATCCACTGCTTTCCAGCTACAGCAGTTATATCGTCTATCCATCTCTTTTTAGGTCTTCCCACGGTTCTTTTTGTTTCTCGAGGTCTCCAGAATGTCACTTTATGAGACCATCTGTTGGTGTCTTGTCTTGCTACATGTGCTACCTATTGCCATCACAATGTTGCTATTTTTCCCATGATGTCGATTTTATCTCAGTATCATAAACTAACGATTTCAGATGTCCTGAAAAATAAAAATCTAGTACATTGCATTCGAGACTTCATGGTGACCACATAATTGGACCATTCCTACCAATCCAACGACGAGGTTAAGTGGTATCAAGAAGATTTTTAACAGCTCAGGTAAAATAAGCTAGGGCTCCGTCGTAAACAAACTACATTTCTGCATCTTAAATTTATGCTAAATTTTCGTTGAAAATTTGTCCTGCTTATTAAATAATGCTTCTCGTCAACCCATATGTGGCAATTATGAAAATTATACACGCCGTTTCTTGTCCGCGTACAATCCGCGTACAATCTCGCTTGAATGGGTTTGTTCATTGATTTGATTATATCATTAATAACTATAAGGAAAAGCGTTGGGCTGATTACCGAGCCTTGAGGTGTACCATTTTTTTAATATCTCACATTAGATAGAAGACCGTTTACTTTTACCTTGAAATTTCTATTTAAGAGAAAATTTTTAATAAAAGCAAGTAGATTTCCTTGATAGCCCCATGATTCCAGTGTTGAAATTATCTTGTGATGCCAAGCCA